ATTTAACCGTGTAACCGTAACTTCTAGTTACCATCGAATCACCGTCGACGTCGTGATCCTAAAACCCTAGAATCACCCAGAGATTCGGTCCCTAAATGCCCGTATCTCAACAGTCCTTCTCCGCCCCGTTGACCTTATAAACCCCCTAAACTTTCCGAGCGACAAGTACTACCTCCCCGTCAATCTCAAGTTCGATTGTCGTTCTCGTTGAACATCACTAACGCAATCTCGGTGGTCTTGCTCACCGAGATCCAATTCGTCGCCGCCACCCCAAGGACATACATCACGTTTTGCAGAGTGACAAGACTCTCTATGGTCGGTGCAAGTAAGATGCAGCTCGGGCAGGAGTTGCATTCTTTCAAGATTAAGTCGGGTGAGCCCGTGACCATGTATGTGGGTCAAGCAAACGATTTGTATGGGAACTTGGTCGCCAACCGTTCAGAGATGAAGCCGGATGAGTTGGCATGGACCGTGCTTGTGGGATTGCCCAAGACGTTCGGTACTGTGAGAAGAATCGTAGAGGCTTTGAAGAGTGCCATTAGCTCGGTGGATGCGACTCTGCCCACGCTCTTGGTGCATAAGCAGGGGTTTGAGGAGTCGCCCAAGGCCAAGGGGCGGCGGTCGGACTCCGCTTTGGCCTATGTGGCCGGGCGGATAGCGAACAAGGAGACGTGCCACGGCAAAGATGAGAGCCGGGGCAAAAGGCCCCAAATGCTACCATTTGGGTCACATTGCCCGGAAGTGCAACAAGGCAGAGAAGCGGGAACACAAGCCGGAGCAAAAAAAGGGGGGGATTCGTCGTTTAGCCCAATGATGGACAACGCTTTCTTTGATTGAGCTGGGTGCGCTACGAGATCCTCCATTCTGTTCCATAGATCCTTGAAAGTCAGAAGAAACTTAATCTTCGAACGCCACGTTCTATAGTTTCCACATCCAACTTATCAATGTGGACCTTGTATCCGTCGGCCATCCGAGGGATTGCGTACCCTTTCTCTCTTTCTCAGGTGCAAAGGTGGATAATTATCTTTTAGGCTTTCCCGGCCACTTGATTCCCCTTGTGGGCTTTCAAGTGTCGTTTAGCTCAAACAGCATCAACGATGAAGCAGACCAACCCCACCGATGCCTTCGTTGAAAACCATTGGCCGACCTTGGCTCACAGATTCAATTTTCAAGCTTGTTGGAATCCGTTGACCAGCTCTAGTCAGCCGGATTGCTTATCGACGGCCCAGATTGCATAGGCTATGGAGTTAGTTAGATCGGACGGTAGAGTGCAGCCTAAAGTCCAGCTTGTGACTGAGATCAGTGTAGACTCAGATACAGTGACTAGTGGCTAGACTTGTAACAGGACTTGTGACAGGCTGCCGTGCTTGATAGAGACGAACATGAATATTGTGAGATCATTCTGAGAGAAGTGCTTAGGAGTGAAGAGGCGCTTCTGTGAAGGGCGTTCAGCCCCGGTGTATCTCGGAATGGGTGTATGGTGACCCGCGCTTGAGATAGCGCGGCGATGCATTGGCGTGCTTATGCAATGCATGAAGGGTGAATCTCAACAAAGCTCTTGAAGGACTATTATTGAATGCTTGCGCCTTCACTCCCTAGGCGCCGTGGTGCGCCGTCCGTGCGCCGTGGGCCTATAATCTGTTGAAATACGGCGTTGTTGGGAATGGATTATCAAGTTCACACAATACATATCGAGTGTTCGGAGTCTAGCGCTGATAAAGCTATGCAGTCTGTGTGCTATGCTAGGCTCACTCAAGTAGAGTCACACTAGTCTACACGGATAGCCTAGGAGGCTCAGTTGATCGCGGATATGCAAGTCCGAAAGTCTCGCGCAAATCTGAATATGGACGGCTATTATCGGACCTACTCATTACGGCGGTTACTCAATAAGTCATTCGGGTGTAACGCTGTAACCCGCGCGCAATTAACCGCCAACTGCTAACTAACGGTTATCGTCAAACTCCTATCGACGTCACACAAGAGATCGCGCACATTAAATGCCCGAATCTCAACAGTCTTCTATATGTATCCAAAGTTGGCCGGAGCAATCAACAATTGCCTTGCCTTCAATACCCTCGACCACTGGCAACTTCAAGTCTCACGTAAGCTGGGTGTTAAGATGGACAAACTGCGCCCACTGCTCTTCTTTATAGATTCACTTTTTCCGGTTTATCCCATTTGCGGGCATGAGCCTTTTGCTTGGCGTGTCGGATGATTTCCCCCGGTTTGCAAGTATCTAGCTTCTTTACAATTATCTTATCATTTGTACTGTTCGAGGAGTTTTTTGAATTTGCGATCCACACTCGGCCAATCTCGATGAGAGGAGCGCAGTCATGTGGACTGAAAATTAATGATTGCTACCATTGCCAAAAAATGCAAGGGTTGCTTGGCAACGAACCCAATCATCCGAGTCAAAAGGCCACCGCCCGCCCGCTTTGTAGTGTCAGGTTTTAAGGACATATGACGATTGGCCCAAAAATCGTTAAAGCATATTTGTAGAAGTATTTGTAGTAATGCCATGATAAGGCTTGACGTAGTGCACTTTTGGGAGTGCTTCCTCGTTTTACAAGTAGCACGATTGACAAGCAAGGCGCTCGGCTTGTCGTGACGCCATTGCGCCTATTCTTAGGTCGTATGCAATATTATCTGTTGAGATTCGGGCCTTTAATGTGCGCAATGTCTCGGATGACGTCAACGAGAGTTCGACGATAACCGGTAGTTAGCGGTTGGCGCAAATGCGCGCGGATTACAGCGTTACACCCAAACGAGTTATTGTGATAAACGTCGTAATCAATAGGTTCGATAACAGCCGTAGATATTCAGACCTGCGCAAAATGGACTTGCTCATCCGCGGTCAATTGAGCCTATCAGGCTATCAATCTAAACCTAGACTAGGAGTGTGATTCCACAAGAGTGAGTCTAGCATAGCACTCGGACTACATAGCTTCAGCGCTGCTAAACTCCGAGCACTCGATATGTTTTGAGTGACCTTGATCATCGAACATTCATTTCGAACAAAGCAGTGTTTCAACACATTGAGGCGCACCACGGCGCACCACGGCGCCTAGGGAATGAGGGCGCAAGCATTCAATAGTAGGCCTTCAGGAGGGTGTAAATTGAACATGTGCGCCAAGGTCGGCCAATGGTTCTCTCTTGCAAAGAAGGCATTGGTGAAAGCGATTTGCTTTATCGTCGATCCTCTTTGAGCTAAACGACATTTTAAAGCCCGTAAGCGGGATCAAGTGCCAATTAATCAAGCAAGTTCTTCACCTTGGTCCTGAGAAAGAGCGAAAGGGAACACAATCACGAAAATGGCCGACGGATACAAGATCCACATCAACGAGTTTGATGTGGCGAAGTATAGAATGTGAGTTCGAAAATCAAGTTTCTTTTCACTTCCAAGGATCTAAGGGATGGAGTTGAAGATGACGGAGCGCACCAAATTTGTCAGAGAAAGCGTCGTCCATCATCGGGCTAAACGTTGAGAACCACCTTCTATGGTTGATTAAGGCGTGCAAAAGCGCAAAGAAGGCGTGGGATCTCCTTGAGAAGATGTACAAGAGCAAAACCAATGCAAGTAAGATGCAGCTCGTTCAAGAGTTGCATTCTCTTAAGATAATTCGGGTGAGCCCGTGATCACGTATGTGGGTCAGAGGATTTGTATAGAGACTTGTCTAACCGTTTGTCGCCACTGATTTTGAGATGAAGCCGGACAGCGTGCTTGCGAAATTGCCCAAGACGTTCAGTATCTTGAGAACAATCCTAGAGGCTTCAAAGAGCGCCATTAGCTCGGTGGATGCCATTTTGCTACAACTCTGGTGCATGAGCAGTGGTTTGAGGAGTCGCTCAAGGCAAACGGCGGCGGAGGTCCGGACTCCGCTTTGGCCTATGTGGCCGGGCGGATAGAGGGCAAGGAGAAGGGCCACGGCAAAGATGAGAGCCGGGGCAAAAGGCCTCAAGTGCTACGATTTCGGTCACATTGCCCGGAAGTGCAGCAAGGTGGAGAAGCGAGAGCACAAGCCAGAGCAAAAGAAAGTGGGGAAACCTCCCAAGGGTTCTGCTTTTAGCGTCATTGAGGGGGTGTTCAACGACGAGTGGCTCGTTGAATCGGTAGCTCCCAACACCTAATCGAGTACAAAAAGTCTGGTCACTATGCAAAACGTGATGTATGTACCCGGGGTGGCGGAGAATTTGATGTCGGTGAGCAAGGCCATCGAGATTGCGTCAGTGTTGTTCACAGAGAACGGCAACTGCGAGCTTGAGGTTGACAGGGAGGTAGTCCTTGTTGCTCGCATAGTGAAGGGGCTCTACGTGGTCAACCGGGCAGAAAATGATGTGCGGGCCTTATGAAGAAGCCGGAAACGGCGGAGTTGTGGCACCGACGGTTGAGACATGCCGGTTCGGAACAGTGAGCGAAAATGGTGCATAGCAACCTCGTCACGGGAAGGGGTCCGGGTGAAACCAAGTGCATTTACGGAGCTTAAAACCTTGGAGTGTGAGCTCTACGTAATAGGAAAGCAAACTAGGCTCCCCTTCCCGGAATCGGATTCGGTGAGCACGGAGCCTCTTGACTTAGCTAGTCCACATCGACGTCTGCAGACCAGTGTTGGTAGCCTCGGTACTTTGCCACGTTTTGGACGACTACCCGGGCAAACTTGGTTGTAGTCCCCATGAAGCTGAAGAGCGAGGTGGCCAAAGTCACTGTTGAGATTGGGTTAGATTTGTGTAGGTTTCACTCGTCATCGGGTCTTGCCGTGTTACTCGGCACTCATGGTCATCATTCCTTGATGGCAGCCATGCATCCAAAGAGGAACCCACGAAGCGGCTCACAATCGACTTCCTTCTCTACACAATCTTCTCCTGAAATGATGTATGACAATGTGTTTCTCCTTACTATTGTCTCACGGATCTCTCCTTCCACTGGGCTCACTAGCCTACTAGGCTCACTAGCCGAAGTCATACTTCACTTTCCGCCGAGCCATTCGGATCGAATCAACGTCCTCTACGGTTAGCGACGAAGTCCACAGTTTGAAAGTGCGAAGAGGACAATGCTCAGTAGAGTGAAATCTTTGCGCGAAAACTCTAATGGGGGATGAAAGGGTCCGACTTCTAGTGCGGAAGGAAGTCAAAACCCTTTCACCTGCTATTTGTTCAGAGCCTCTTCTAAATGAGGAACCTCGAAAATGTAGGCAACAAATTCGAAAAAGTGTCCCGTAAAAGTGTACAGACAATCACAAAAGTGCAGGTTTTCAACTTTTGGCCGCAATCGGAAGACGTCGACCCCTGCAAGCATTCAAAACATGAAGAAAATGGAAAAAGTGGAGGCTACATTTTCATCTTATGATGTTCAAGAAGGCAATGTGATGGTTGGTTTCCAGAAAATGGGAGCAGGAAAGCCACAATAGAAGTGGGACCTGATATCCTTGAATTAGGGTTCGCGCAGCTCAGCTTAGCTAAGCTCAGCTGACCTAGCTGAGCTCGACTTCTACCCGGGCTTCACCCGGGGACCAGGTTTGTCGAGTGCGGCAGTATGCGCGAGAATATCAACCGATTGCGACCGGGGAAACTCGCTTGATTCCGTGAGCCACAGCCAGACCGGAAAGTGACGTAAGTCACACACTACTAGCCTCACTAGTCTAGATCACAATTACATTCTAACTGTGCCGCACGACTACTCATCTACGGCTCACACTGATGGTCCTCTTAACCGCCTAACCTCTCTGCACGCACGTCGGCGTTCACTGAATCTAACCCCTAACTCGGTTCGAATCCCAATCACAAGAATCCGGCTAACCATAATCACCGTGTTCCAACACTCCAACTCAAATGGATTACTCTAGCTTCTAACCCGTCTTCATGTTCTTCATGCGGGCCGCCTTCTTCTTCTTCGGCGTCATCCACGCTCTCCCGACTCGCTACTCCCGATCTCTGGGTAGCTCACTGCGCGACGCTCCCCTCCAACGACTTCTTCTTGGCTCCGTGCTCCGGCTTCAGCTACCACGGCTTCCTTGTTGCTCCCACTACTGCCCGGTACCACTTGGCAGGCTCCCGTCTAACTCTAGCGGGGTATTTCGTCACATCTGGCGACTCCACAGGCTTCCTAGCCTCTTGGCGCTCCATCTCCGATTCTTCCACAGTTCCACTTCTGGAATCACTATCTAATTGCTCGCGCCGAAGTCTTCCACGCATCCGCGCCCAACTTCCGATACGTGCCCGTGCACGCCATTTATTGGATCTTGCGCGCCAACACCTTCCCGGGTCTTATCCGGCTCCCCGGTGCTCTCGATCTCGTCTTCCGACTCCTCAAGATCGACTTCCACGACCTTCACCGTCTCCTTTACCACGCTGTCCGCTCTCACCGGCCGCTTTGCCACGGCGGTCTCCCAGTTCTTCTTGACCGGTCCCCTCGCAAGGAATGCTTTCTGCTTCCCACGGTCGCGATCCCTCAGAGCGTGCCGAACCTCCCTCAAGGTTACCGTGCTTACACCGCTCGGGGTCTTACACCTTAGCTCAACTGCTCCAATCCCCAATACTTTTAGGGACTCCACAATGATCTCCTCCTCACGCACAAGCTTGCTATAGCTCGTGCATTGGCTCCGATCAGCCGTGACGTACCGGGTGCTGCCGGAATCGACTATCCACACCCTTTCTCTGCATATCCTCGTTGTCCACCCATGCCGTAAAGGCCGCTTTCACAACTTCTTGCTCCTCCTTCTACGCCGCCTCTTGCGTTCGTACGGTGCCCTCTTCTTCCGCACTTGCGACACTCCGCATTGCGCAACCTGCACGACGCCTGGTTATGGCTCGTGTGGCCACAACAATAGCACGTTGGGGGATTTGAGCTTCCGCCCCTCACCTCCGAGCTTCTTCCCAACTCGTTTGAGCTTCCCCGGCTGTTCCCTAAGCACGGGTAGCTCCTTAAGTTGGCTACATATGCCGACGCCAACTCGAAATCTCCACTCTCCGCCTGCGTGGCCTTGCTCTTTGCTTGTAGCGCTTGCTTCCGCTGCATGGGCTTAGATTGCACGGTATCTAGATTCGCCTCATCATCCCCGGCTTCTAGGATCTCCGGTAGGGTTTCATGCCCCTTTTGCAGCCCCCTTAATGCATGCACTACCAGCTGCAAATCAGACACGGTCTGGCCCGTTGCCTCGAAGTCTATATTGAACTCACGAAACTCCCGAAGATACTCCGCAATGCTCTGCTTCTCTCCAGACCCTAGGTGGTCAGTTTATCCATGCGTTGACCAACACTTGCATTGCTCGATGTCTCAAAGTTCCGCTTTAACTTTTCCCATGCCTTTGCTGCAGTGGGCTCTCCACAATCAGCTTCACGAAGGCATCTGAGTATGCAGGATCATCCGCGCCTTTGCTTGCCGTGATGCTGGGCCTCCCCTCTGCAGACTCCGGTTGCTCAATAGCCACAAAAAGGACCTTGTGCTCTATAAGCGTCTGAAAGTTGGCCTTCCATATTGACCAATTTCCCCCCTCCATTGCGGGATTGAGACCTTTTCAACGCCCACCATTCTCGTACACAAAATCAGCTTTTACACAAGACGGTTGCCTCCGTCCCTTGTGGACTTTGGTCTTATCTTCGTGGTAGTGGGCCCATAACTTGTTGAGATTGGGCTAGATTTGTGTAGGTTTCACTCGTCGTCGGGTCTTATCGTGGTACTCGGCCCTCATGCTCATTACTCATTGATGGCAGCCATGCATCCCACGAGGAACACACGAAGCGGGCTCACAAGCGGCTTCCTTCTCTCCACAAACTTCTCAGGCTTAGAACAATGTATGACAATATTGTTTCTCCTTACTATTGTCCCACGGATCTCTCCTTCCACTGGGCTCACTAGCCTATTGGGCTCACTAGCCAAAGTCACACACTACTAGCCTCACTAGCCTAGATCAATCTCATACTCTAACTGTGCCGTACGATTACTCATCTACGGCTCACACTGACGGTCCTCTCAACCGCCTAACCTCTCTGCACGCACGTCGGCGTTCACTAAGTCCTAAACACTAACTAGCTTCGAACCCTAGTCACAAGAATCCGGCTAACCATAATCACCGAATTCCAACAGTCACTAAGCACATGATCAACCTGATGAAGTTGCAATTGGGGAAGAAGCTCAAGTCGGTGCGGACGGACCGAAGTAAGGAGTACGTCAACAAAGCCCTTGAAAACGTTAACCGAGGCACGGGGACGATTCACTAGAAAACCGCCCCTCACAGTGCCGAGCAAAACGGGTCGGCGGAACGGCTTCACCGGAGTTTGGAAGAGAAGACCCGGGCAATGCTTGAGGACTTAGGTTTGCCAGAATAGTTGTGAGCGGAAGCCGCTGTGACGGCCAACTACACCCGGAATCGGACGCCCGTGTGCGCCCGGGGGAGGACCCCCTGGGAGGCGTTCTTTGATGAAATACCGGCGGATGTCGGGCATATGAGGGTTTTAACGGACGTTTCACCACGTCCCTAAACAGCGGGTACGTAAGCTAGATTTAGTGAGCGAGCGATGTGTATTCGTGGTGTACGAGCCGGACACGAAAGCCTATAGGTTGCTCTGGGACTGTGACTCATGGAAGCTTATCATCTCCCAGGACGTCATCTTTGACGAGGGGATCGGGAGATGGGGAGATGGGGTTGTCGAGCTTGGCTCCGACCCCACGGATGGTTCCCAGACGGCGGAGGGTTACGGCGCACAGGTTCACACTGTTAGAAGTAGTAACGCGCTGCACTCGGGCTACACTTGCGCCAGTTAATACTTCTAACAAAAATGCGTGATCGGACTGGATTCGATTCCCAGCGAGAACGAAAAGTTTTGCGGCTGGCTGCGCAAAAAGGTTGCCCCGGTGTTGAAAGTGATAGTGGGTTAGGCGGCCAAATTGTTGGTTTAGGCCGTGGATACTAGCTAGTTAGCTAGGGTAGTAGAGACCGCACGATGTCAGGTTCTTACTTAATGTGAGCCGTTCGATGGGTTCTTTTGCTGGAAAATACGTTGGGCTTGAGCTAGGCTTTATGACTTGAGCTAATATCAAAAGAACCAAACTCATTCTTGGGGAAATGCTTGTAAGAGAGGAAGGCGCTCCCTAGTCAAGACGCTTGTATTTGAAGGAGAGTTTAAAGAGCCTATGTTGTTACTTGAGCATGAGTTCAAATGCGATTTGAACACACACGGGCGGCCCATGATGAGGGGCCAAAAGTTTGAATCGGTACGCGAGAGCAACGCGGCCGCGGGCGCACATGATCGGCGGCCGCGCCGCGCGCCTTCATAAACGGGCCGCAAAGTGGGTGGCAAGTTTGACACTGTGCGCGAGACTAAGACCAGTGCAAAGCCGGAAAGAGATAGACGAGAATATCGGAATGCAAACACTGGCTTCTCAGTAGTACACCGTGCGTGAGAGATGCGCACCGGGGCAGTGGTACCGCGCAGCTAACTTAGCGGCGGAACCAAAGGCGGGAGAGCACCCTAAAGGGACGCCGGGGTCCGAGCACTCAGAACCGCCGACCTATCAGGAAGCGGCCGTAGGGGGAGAAGAGAGTGAACTATCCAGCAGAAGTCGATGGACGGGGAGATGCTATCTAAGTTGTTGAAGAACGGGATCTGGGAGCCCGTCGAAAAGCCGGAAGGGGTGTTCAGCCGGTTCCCATCAAGTGGGTTTACAAAATCAAGCGAGACGCTCTCGGAATTGTGAAGCGGTACAAGTTCCGGCTGATGGTGAAAGGGGATCTGCCAAAGTAGGACGTTGACTTTGAGGAAGTCTACGCCCGGGAGAGCAACTTCACACCCCATTTCGTGCATTATTGGCAGTGGTCGCGGAGCGCGACGTAAAGCTGCATCAGTTGGACGTTAAGACGGCGTTCCTCCCTGGGGAGCTAGGGGACGAGATCTACACGTAGCAGCCGCAGGGATACGAGCAAGGTGGACCCAACATGGTACAGTGCCAGCTTAAGCGCACCGTGATACGGGTTGCGCCAGGCGCCGCGTGCATAGCATATGCGCCTAAAGAAGGAGCTCGGGAACTTTGAGTTGGTGGCGTCAATGGCGGACGCGGCGCTCTTCACGGGAATAGTAGCCGGGAAGCGGGTCTACCTAGTAATGTGGGTGGACGACATAGACTAGGTAGTGGCGGCCTGTGGAGCTCGGACCATTGCGAAAGCACAGGCGCATAAGTAGGGGAGTAATTTAGCGTGCGGCGCGACTTGGGAGAAGCGAAATAGACTATAGTTCCTTGGCATGGAGCTGACGCGCGATAGGGAGGCCCGCACCCTGAAGCTAACCTAATTGAGGCTGACCGTCAAGAGAGCTAGTCGGACGGTACGGACTTGCGAGCGCTCGTGCTCGCAGCTCTCGGAACCGAAGACAAGTTGACGAAAGAGGGTGAGCCCCTCGACACAAAGCGGTTTCCCTACAGTGAGTGCGTGGGGAGCCTGTTGTACTTGAGTGTGTGCACTAGGCCCGACGTTGCACAGGCAGTGGGCGCCCTTGCGAGCTTGGCATGGCGGGGCCGACGGAGGAGCACTAGCGGGCGCCGCTTGAAGTTGTGCGCTACCGAGCGGGTACCGCAAAGGACGGGGTAACCTTTGGGGGGAGCGGAGAGACTCTCATCCCCACATTGCGACGCAGTTTACACGGGTGACGTGAACACGAAGCGGTCCAAAACGGGATACGTCTTCCTAATGTTAGGGGGCGGTAAGCTGGTTGAGCATTGAGGCAGCATCCAACGGTGGCGGTCTCGACAGTAGAGGCGGAGTATGTGAGCGTAGCGCAAGCGGTAAAGGAGGCCCCTGTGGTTCCGCAAGCTCGGGGGAGATCTCGGGTTGGAACTAACGGGGGACGGTCCAGATCTACTGTGACAAGTTGAAGCTTGCAACACGGCTCTTGAAGCACCCTGGTCGCTTCACACCGGTCGGCGAAGCACACAGTGGACGGGAATCATCACTCTGCACGGGAGCGTGTGGCACGCGAGGAGGTCGCGTTCTCATACGACACTGACGGAGGACATGAAGGCGGACATCATGACCAAAGCGTTGGCACTGGGGTGGTCAAAAAGTGCAGGCCTTGAGGGAGGAATTGTATATAAATCATTAGTGTGTCCACGGAGGAGTGTTGATATTTGGGCAGTTAATGTGCATGATCTTTTGGGTGACGTCGATAGGAGTTCGACGATAACCTATAGTTAGCAGTTGACGGTTCAAATCCCCGGCGCGGGTTACAGCGTTACACCCGAAGAATTCAGTTGAGGAACCGCCGTAATCTTGATAGGTTCGATCATAGCCGTAGATTTTTAGATTTGCGCAAAAAATTTGGACTTGCTTATCCGCGGTGGGCCTGAGCCTACTATGCTATCAGTATAGATGCAGACTAGGAGTGCCAACGTGCTCCAATCAGAGCATCAGGCTGCCACGACTTCCCTTTAGTCCAGCGTCCAAGCTAGTCACGCGAGGACGCGTGTGGTTTTAAGGTGGGGGTGAGGTAATAGCTGTTAGCTCAAAAGTTCAGGCTACCGTGATTCCACTTGAGTGGGGCTAGCTCATAGCACACCGACTACATAGCTTTAGCGCCGCTAGACTCCGAACACTCGATATGTTTTGTGTGAACTTGATCACTCAATCATTCATTGCCAACAACGCCATGTTTCAATATGCTGTATTGTATGGTGCCGCAACCTGAGTCACTACCACGGCACTTCAGTATGATACATGAGAGATGAACTCTTGCCATGACCCGCACCTTTGATCCGATGGCTGGCGGCAAAGTTCAACATTGTAGCAATCAAAGACCCAGCTAAAGCTTAGCTAAAATCGTGTGGCTGAGGCCGTTGATATTGAATAAGGCCCTAGCTGGAGTTGATATGAGCCTTTCGGTCCATCTACTAGGGGCCCGGAGTGGTCGACTGGTCAACGGATGGTAACCGTACAAATTTCGGGGCCAACAAGGCCTTACTTTTCCCATTCGATCTAGAACGTAGGCCGCTCAAAAGTGCTATTTTAGGCCCCGACCGGGTCTTTTTGGCTGCAACTTTCAAGTCATAGTGGTTTTCCAACGGCTAGTAGGAGAAGAAATTAACTCGGATTCTCGGAGTCCGAGGAACTGAGTTGGAAGTTCTCAAGCATTATAAGTAGATTTGCGGCCTTGTATAAGTGCTCCAAGGAACTTTCAATAATCTATCTGATGTTATTTATTGGAGAAAAGAAAATAAGTGAAAAACCACCCCCTCAAACTGATTGGTGCGGCGAGGGCCGATCCGTGTGCGCGAAAGCCCATATTGACTTTGCGTGGCCTGAAGTTCTGGACATTGGACTGCCCTCCAACTGGCACCAACCGTTCAAGATACCATGTTGTGACAATAGACCCTTCTTGAGCACTTCAATTGTCATGACTCAGTGCTTCTGCGCGCAAGGCATGTGGCCAATACGTCTGGCACCGTGTTCGCCCCTGGCAATCAAGTTCTTACCAAAAGACTTTCAGTGAGGCCTAGGGTTTTGGGAGCACACATGGTTCGAAAACCAAGGCTTGGCACCCAACGCCGTAATCCAGAGATTGATTAAAGGGCATCCAAGTTTCAACATACCATGTTGTAAAGGAGCGCAATTGCTCGAACCATGAATATGTTAAGATACGGGGGTTCTTTGACGGCCAGATTGTGATAGAGTTAGTAGGTGGGAATAGTCGAAGGGTAAAGTTTGCTCTATTTCCATATGTTAGTGTTGGGAGGTACTAGCCTTGTGTACGCTCTAATGTCTTGTGCTTGAGTCGTCCATGGAAGCGTAGGTTTGATGCATAAGGTCGGCCGTACCATTGTGAGCTTGCATGATTTGAATATCCAACGTAGGATGCGCGAAAAGTGAGCCGTAGGATTGAGTCCATTGTGAAAGGGTTCTTTTGTGATGTGTACTTCGGTGTAGCCGTTCGATGGGTTCTTCATAGGCCCACGACGAATACGGACCGTCGATTTGTCGATTGAAACACCTAGGGTTAATGCTAGACTTGAGCTAGGCTATAAGACTTGGACTACATGTAAAGAACCCAACTCATTCATACCAAGCTAGATGCTTGGTGAGAGTTAGGGCGCTCCTTTTGTGAAGGCGCTTGTGTGTGAGGGTGATTAAATCCCTCGTAGGATCCAAGCATGAGCATATAATTTCAACAGAATATGTTTCTGATTGTCCATAGCAAAAAAAAAAGTTCTCAATTGAAAGCTTATGCAAGGATACTTTGTGCCAAACATCCTTGCCACTGCCGCAAATTGCTCTCTGTGCATTCGTTAGCCTTCCATGGCCACTTTCGATCTAGCGAACGAATGCCAAAATACAAATCCGTGCACCGATTGGCAAATCCGATTGGCAATCCAATGGCATCGGATTGTTCAGCAATCGGATTGCCGCCATGATGTTCTCTTTTCAAAGCGCCGTAGTCACATGGACCATAGGCTTCCATGGCATACTATATGGTTTAGTATTGTTTGAGCTTTGAACGTCTAGCCACTCTACCGAATCCAACGTACTCGTGCATGCTGCCCTAGTCCAACCTAGCCTGGCAACAACCTATCAACGGACGTCGTCACATTTAGCAGACCACGCGCGAGCCTAAACTACTACTCTATCATTAGCAACAGGCTCGCAGATCGTCGGAGCTATGGTTGGCACTAGCTGTAGCGGGCGGTGAGTCTCGGAAGGAATGTAGACCGCAGAAGCGCGCATACTGAGCTTTGACAAAGTATTGGTACATGTGCATCATGACGCCCCTTAAAAAACCCCTACCCCGTTCTTCGTAGCTTAGGAGATCTTTTCTCTTGGAGGGGAAATTGGTACCGACATGATACACATGTAGGATACCCTAGCTTGAGGCATGTTGTGCGAGGACAACCAGAAGTGCCAGTGCCTACAAAAGTTGTCGGAGAGAAACCGGCAGAGGTTTCATGTGCCTCCGAGCAGGGCCAATGTGCGAAAGTTCCAATGCAAAGTTCAAGGCCTACGACATTCAAGCTATGACGGATCCGATTGGCAATGCAATGATTATTCAAAAACCCATAGGTGCGCCGCCACCAATTGGCATCATCCGGGCATGGCTTATTTCGTCAATTGTACGCCGCTCCAGACGGTAAAATGCTGCCCGTTTCGTCAAAAGTCGGACTCTATTCAATGATTGGTCGAACCTAGGCCATCGATGTCCAGTTATAGGTGGTGTAAAGTCGGGCATGATTACACGCATACATACATGGATGCACCATGGATGCACTTCATAACTAATTGGCCTAGGATGAGTGCGTACAAGTGTGCCGCGTGCATACGTCATTACCAACAATGGCACGTGTTACTCACATTATGAGACGCCTTGGCCTTGTGGAATCATCAAAATCTAACTGATATGCCTCTTTAGTAATTGATTTTAAGCTACTATGGTCTCAATTTTGAGCTCTGTCCAATCAGACCTTATACATAAACGGCCGATTGTGTTCATCACCTTCAGCGCAACTTAGGACTACTTATCTGCGGGATTTGCTATGTCACTTCCGACCTGTTTTTCCTTGGCTTGTCCTCGAATAGGCAAACACCAAATTCATCCGGACATTAACCTGCAAAATGTTATCAGTGGCACATACCATCAACGACTATCCCCGCCACTATTGAACTTCTATGCCGTACTTTGCGCTATACTAGTGCATACCAAGGAGCTGCTACAGCAAATGGCCGAATGATGAGAGTTGAGCCCAAGCGATGGACGTATCTCTTTCGCTGCCCAATGCACTAGCTAATGAATAGAACCACAACTGATGGGCTCACGCCTTGTTGGCACCACAGCTATTGACAACTTGCATTCTACAATAGGCCTACCCACAGTAAGGAAAGGCTCAACTCGAGAGAACCTCGGCTTCTAGAAGCTCCGCGTCCAAACGCTCCACCTGGACGGCCGCGAGCACTACGATTGGCAGCCTGTGCATCCAACAAGTAAGGGCAGTGGGCGGTTGCAACGGCGTTGTCACTCTACCTTCTTGCAGCTCTTCACCGTCTCTTTCAACAACTAACCAAGGACTTGCACCCTCGACAGAGCGCGTGACCGGTATTCTGGAGCGAAGCTCCTTGTTTGGTTGTCAATACAATGGCCACCTCCCAAGGTCTGGGCTCCGCCTAAGGTACTCTACAGTGCTGCACTCTTTACACGACCGTTGATCCTATCAGCGCGACCTTCCTTGCTCCACCTTCAAGGCAGCCAGGGGTTGCTCGGGTCGGCCCACGCCCCCAGCAGTGCGGCGGCGCTGGGCGGCCACCCGCGCGCTGGCCCCTCCCACACGTCCACCCCGCGCTTCAGCCCCAGAGCATCGTCCGGAAGGGCTGCCAGCAAGCTTGCCACCCGAGGGGGATCGCTCGGGTTGGTGAAGCCCTGAGGGGGAGGGCGCTGCTGCCCCGGGTACGGGTACGGCACCGGTCCAGGCACTCCGGGCACATGTGTGCTGGGGGCGCCCCCTCGCGGGGCCCCTGCTCGGTCCCACGGTTCGGGAGCGTCGCTCCCCCGGAGCTGGCGCCGCTCCAGCTCGTGGGCCGCCTCGAAGGCGAGCTGCGAGATGGCGGCCAGCGAGTCCGCCTCCCCGAGCAGCCCCGACGGCAGCGACGACGGCAGCGAGAGGCTGCGCAACGGCGGCGCACCGCTGCGCCCCAGCCGCGCGTCCACGTTCGTGCCGCGGTCCTGCACCTGCAGCGAGTTGAAGGCCCGCGCCAGCGTCCCCGTCGGCGGCCCCAGCAGCGGTAGAGCC